AGTTGGAAGTTGTGATAAAAGAGAACGAAACAACAAAAATAAATGACAAGGGAACCATGAGGCGCGCGAATGAAAGAGAGAAGAGGCGAGGTCACAACGGAGTGAGTGCGAGAGAGATGAACGTGCGTACCGCGCGGCGTAAAAGTGTCGGAAAGGGTTTGCCAACTTAACTAACTGGCTTCATGAAATATCAACTTCCGATTTGACCACGAAATATAAACGACCGACTACCCGTTTGGCGTAATAAAACTATGAAAGTCTCGAAGGTCGAGACTCGAGGTACATGAATCGGATCTTAGATCATAATTCATAATCATTTATCATATCAATATCATGATGATCGAATCTTGGTCACATAGACGCAATTTAAACTTTTGACTTGGGGGGGCTGAATATATTAAAGGAAAGAGGAAAATTGCAATATAGCATTTTAAAATTGTATGTCCTGTTTTTGGTGGGCTAAGCCCCCCAATTTGCGCCTATGATTGGTTATGCACAGAATATTATAATATCACGTTTATGGTTTATTATACATTTATACATATCTGTGTTCATATATTATTATAATTTATAACTATGGACTTGAACATAACATTACACTGTGGGAAATTCAAAATTATCGTGCGGCACAGGCACTGCGGTACTACGTTCTTTTGTCACCGCAGCCGCGTCCGCTCTATAGCAGCCGCCAGCGCCAGCGGGCACAGTTTCGTTCTCGACCCGGATCAGTGCTTATGTGCTACGGTGTCGTACGGCCGACACAACAAGTAACAACCACCACCACCATTACCACGACAACGACTCGTACGTGGAACACGGATTGATGACCGCAACAAGAACAGCAGATTTTTTTGTGTCGCAGACACTCGCGGCCACTCATCCGGCTGTCGATCGACGCTCGCTCGGCCCATCACACTCTGCCAGTGCGATTCGTTAGCGGTGTCTATCTCGTCCGAGGATAAAAGATCGCAGAGATCCTCCGAGGGAGTCTGCAGGAGGAGAGCTGCTCAGGATCGTCTGCAAGGACGAAACCGTGTGTGACGGTTTTGCGCTGGTCGCTCTGCACACGGTTGGTGGCTAAATAGTAAATAGTCGAAACGTCGCGCAATATGGCCGTGTGAAAAGTGGTGTGGACGACGACCACAGACGGAAGGATTCGGTCGCTGACAGACGTGGGGGAAGAAGATAATGAAAATCTGTTCTGGACCGGCATACATCAAACACCGTCCCAGGTAAGCCGTCTCTATAGCGTTTGCTCGGTCTATATTATAATAGGCGACATTATGCGAATTATTTTTTCGACATAATATATAATTGGGTACCTACCTACCTCCTATGCGTATACTATAATATCACTATTATTGTTTTCACCCTTCCCCCGCCGACGGATCCCATTCACCTCCCACCGTCGACCGTCCGTCTACGACACGCGGCGACGGTGGCGTGTTGTGGTGCACGACTGCCCACTGCCCGCCGCCTCATCTGTCCCGCCGCCGCCGTCGTCTGGTGGAAGGTGACGGGTGAAATGGTACTAAATAGTAATTGTAGGAGTAAAAGTAGTAGCAGTTGTAGTAGTAGTATTAGTTGTAGTAGTAGCAGCGGTAGTGTAACAACTATAGCGAATATTGTTGGTGCGCGCGTGTGTGAGTCGTCGGTCGTCACAACGGAATAAATGTGTCTACCGAATAGTGAAAAAATAACAGCAGAACGAGGTCAATATGGAAAGGCCGTCGTCGACGTGTTACCTGGCCATTGTGTTTGATTGCGGTTTTATCTCGTTAATGTTGTCTGGTATGTTTGCTCGAATATTTTCCGATTTTCCTCGCTACACCTATTATACGTCCCTCTTGTTTGTTTGTCCACTTTGTGACGTGAACGGACGTGATGACGCGCGTCATAATCCGAGCAAATGTTAAACCACTTGGCACCTGCCACAGTCCTTCCACTCGACACATTATAATATATTATGTACACGATTAAAAAACCGTAATCGATTGTTATTATTTTCGATGTACACTGTTGACGTAAATAAAAATGTTTAACTTTTTTTCCTTTATCAAATGAATATTAGTAACAAATAATTCTTAAAAAAAAAAAAATTGTCGTAGGAAAAAATTTGTCCGAGTCAAAGGTACATTTTCCCACTATATTATGTAATTGATATCAGTTTAAGAACATTTGTGTTCCATTTTCTAATCGTGTGAGTGTGTGACAGATATTGATAAATATAGACGGTATTCAATTATAGGTACCTTCATATATTTTATTTAGGTACAAGGTACCTATTCATATTCAAAAGCATGTTATAAAATCCTATTATTTCTAACAATTATCTATATAGTATGTTTATACATTAGTGTTTAAATTTAAACTGTTTGGATTCCATCATATAAACATAGTAATAGGTCACATTTTAGTTATTCAACGTGATGATAGGTACCTAACAAAATATGAAGTAATTATTTTTATTTTACTTAGGTTTTTCCTTGTTTTTCTTGAGGAAATATCAGTTTACATGTCTTAGCTAAGTACTTAAAAATGTACAAATACCTAATTAACTACCTACAAATCACTAGGTATGTATAATATATTTATATAAAATAGCAGTTCTTCAACTTTATTTGTTCACATAAAGCCCTAGTGGTCGCTCTAAGCTTTAAAAAAAGGATTATCAAAAATCAGGAACGTAAATTTTGAACTACAATTTGTGTAAAATTGTAGAAATTGTACATATAATTAGTTATTAATTTTTTTTTCTGTAGATACCGAGGTAGATACGTACATAGGTTATGTTATAAAATATTTAATTTGAGTAATACGATTTAAAGAAATTTGTGTATTAAGTAATTTATACATTTTGTGTGTAGAATTATAGGTAGACTTAAATATCCTTACCTATTGCTTTTATTTTCTAGTAGGTACATTTTATACTAAGTACCTACTTCATATTTGGCTTTTTTAGAAGATATTTGCCGGGTTGCTTATATCAGCCAAAATATCTAGTTGAAAAAAAGAAATAGGTAGTGCTTATAGTTTTTTTTTTTGCAAAAAATGTAGGTACCTTATTTGAATTAAATACATTTTGTCTTCTTCTTTGTTTTGTTCTTAATGGTCTCAAGATTTTACAAAGTGTATTCTCTTTGTAAACTTAAAAATGTTCATTAGGTATCTATGTAGGTTTTTCTATTTTGTTTATATATAGTATATATATATATATATATAGCCAGCTAGTCGGCAGCTAGTGCTTGAAAATAGTAATAATATTGTCCACAAAGCCCTAGGATTTCGCAGCACAGTGGTTTGAGAACCACTGGTATAAGATATTGTCACTATTAGTACCATACTACCATAAACTAGCTAAGTAAGTACTAATGTACTAAAGTCAATAGTCTATAGGTATTACCTATGTATTTCATATTTCTGGTTTATAATGTGAACAGTTAGACTGTCTTTATTATTATCTACTTACTACTCAACTTACTATAAGTGCTGTTTACAGCCACTCAGTGGCTGACTTGTGCTGTTGGTCAGGATGCTATTGTTTGAAATAATATGACAAGTAATCTGATAGTCAAAATATAATTTTAGAGTTATCTTAAATGCTTTTATATGATAAGCACAATAAATTCATAAGCTGCTATAGAACCAGTAAAAATATAAAATGGTCCTGATTAATTTCAAAATTGTTAACTAAATTCAAGTAGGTTACCTACATTGAATTATTATTTTATACTAGGTATTTGGTAGGAATACTATCTTTCTTAAATTTTAATAAGCATTTAACCTATCTATTTGTTTTATCTACTTTCTAGTATTATTGTTTTCAGTTTGTATAACAACCAGCTTTTATATACAATACTTTTATTTTTATGTATTAGGTACTTATTTAGTGCTCGTTTAGTACCTAGACTTATAAAGGTACCACTTACTTTTAATGGACTTAATTATTGTATCAGTTTGTCAGTATGACATAAAAGGAATCAGTGATATAAGACATTTACATTTTTAATTTATCTTTTTTAGGATATATTATCTAGTTAGGATAAATTTAAAAAAACAACCTGTTGTATACACACATTTATAGTAGCTTAGCCAAGGGTCTTAGGGGACTGTAACTCTCCTCATCATTTCAGGAAGATAAAAAAATTATTTTAATGTTTTGGGGAAGTATTGTGTAAGATGTTACCTAGGATGTTACTATGTATTAAAATTGTAATTTATATTGCATCAAAAGTCTAAATTGTTATGTTATAAATGTATAAAATGCAAATGCATATGGATACCAAATGTTTGAGAAATTCTAGTAAGGCTTCGCTTTACAACAAATTATTAGCTCCTCCTAGCAAAATTCTGATTATTTTCACAAAATTCACTGACAAGTCTTGTTCCCAATAAATCTGTTAATATGCATAAGATGGTTAAGTGTATTCTTCAGTATTGTTTGAAAGAACTAACAACTGAACAAATGTTCCTATAAGAAATATAGATAGAACAGGAATGTTATACAGAATGGTACCTACATATTTATGAAAATAAAAAAAAGTATTCAACATCCTCCTACTGTAATAGATGACAGTGAGGAAACACTAGCATAATACAATTGTGAGGGATAACAATATATTGGGCAGGGGCCATGGTATCCTCATTGCCACTGTGGCACTGTTTCCGTGTGTGCAGTGAGTACCTATGCCATGTTTCTGTATGAATATCTTCATTGCCTTCATAGCCATGTACTAAAATAAGTATTTAAAAATATATTAACCACCTCAGTGAAAATATGCCTCATTGTGATCTAACAAAAATACTTATTTGATACTTTTGTAGTTTTGTTATAATGATCAAAGTAAAAGAAAAATTATGTTAACAGTTTCCATAGTAAAGAATAATTATCAAGCAACATTTGATTCTAATTATGTATTCAATTTAGAA